ATTGAAATCACAATTCAGAACGTTCAATACATAGGAACAACCCAAATGCCCAAACATGGATAACTCATACATCAATCATCCTTTGGTATATAAGAACTCCCTCCCTGCCCTCAGAGGTAATAAAATAAATGATTCCCTACTCTAGTACATATAGATTCTATGTCAACTAAATGCATAAATATAGGACTAAAATACTGAAAACTATACACACAAAGATGCTGGAAAAAACAATGGATGATCTTAATAGATTTAAATCCAGAAAAGCTCAACACACAAGGATTTCTTCCTAAGTTCATATACAGGTTCAAAATAATTTCCATCAAAATTTCATCAAGTTTTGGCAGACAAAATTATTCTAAAATTTCTACAGACAATCAAAAGAACTAATACAGCTCAGAAAAAGGAGACTAAAGTGAGAGCAATCAGTCTACCTGACTTCAAAGCTAATTACAGGGCCAAAGCAATGAAAAGTATAGACTGTTAGAACTGAACCTAAACTTAGAACTAGGATAAAAAAATTTTGACCAGGGGAATTTTTATGAAAGCAATTTAATAGAGGAAATAGAGACTTCCATTAGTTGGTTCTGGAGAAGTTAGATTAATGGAGAAGGGAGGAGTAAGGGAGTGGAGACAAAGGAAAAGGGGGAGACAAGAGGGGAGCGAGGGAGGGGGAGAAGGGAGGTGAACAGGAAGGGAGGGAGAAGGAAGGAAAGGGAAAGGAGTCTGCTTAAGAATCATATGTCATACCAGAAGGAATTTGAGGAGATACGGAATTTAATGTAAATATAAAAGGGTACATGGGAGGTTGGGAGGGAGAAAGGCGAAGGGGGAATGACTTAATAAGGCAGAAAATGGGGTTTCAGCTACAAAGGACAAGAGGGAATTCTTTATAATGGAAATGTTTGACATGTTGTCTGCATCAATGTCAAAACTGTGATTGTCATCATACAGTGATTTTGTAAGATTGTCACCATTAGAGGAAAGTATGTAAAGGGCACATGGAATTTTTTTCTGTATTTTTGCAACTACATATGAATCTACAAGTAACTCATAAATTAAAATTTGACTTAAAAATCTAGGAAAATAGTTGGTTCCAATTTTAGTTCACATTTGAATCTACACAAGAGAGCAAATCTCAGTTTTCCAAAAGAAAAAGGAAACTGAAGGCCAGGGCTAAATGGAAGTCACAGCTGGGTGGCCCTGGGCAGACCCACAATCAGCTCTTCCCCAGCAAGGGCTGGAATCAGGACAAGAATTGATAAGCCAAGACCAACACTCATTTTAATGAGGCAGTATGTAAGAAAGGCTGTGACCAGGAATTAAATAACCCTTTCTGGCTAGGGAAAAATAGTGTTTACTGACCAGGATACTCAGTACAGAAGGTGAACAAACAAAGGGATTCATAGAAGTAAAGTGCCCCATAAAATCACAAGCCGAGTTCTGGGTGGTGTGGAAGCATGGAATCTAACTTTCATACCACCCTTCCAGAGCAACAGACTCATTTGGAACCAATCCCTTACGGCCCCTGCCAGCAGCCAATCCCAAACCACGCCCGCTGGGATTCTAACTCAGGAATATAGCCCATTAAAGGATTAACTTTCTCCATCAAAGATCTTAGAATAGACCAAACCCACAAAGCTTTTCAAGCAAAATCAACTCCATCATTTCAAAGTTTATGAACATTTTGTGGAGATGGGGTGATGACCACGATAGACAGGTACTACTCAGCCGAGGATGTGGGTAACTCAGTCTGAAGGTAGCTTCCAGGGTGATGGGGACCTGAGCTATCTGAGAGGCTGTCCCATAGCTTTATACGGGTGATTTATGCAGGTCTTCACTTTGAAACCATTTAGCCCTCCTCCAGAGCAGATTAAGCAATCTCATAGACAACTTAGAGAGAGAGAGAGAGAGAGAGAGAGAGAGAGCCTCCTATGTCATACATAAAAGACCACACCTGAGCAAAGAATACATGATCACTGAGCCCTGTAAGTGAGAAGCAGATATTCTAGTCCCCATGTTGGGTTTCTCTTACTATGGTAAAACAAAAATCAACTTGAAGAAGAAATGATTTCCCACATCTTGGCCCATCATCAGGGGAAGCCAGGGCAATTCAGTAACAGAAGCAGATACCATGGTGAAATGATGCTTAATGGATTGCCCCTCCTGTTGCTTGTTCAGGACTATCTGTCTAGAGGTGACACCACCAGTAGTGGACCAGGCTCTCCCCCATCAATCAACAATCAAGAAAATGCCCCCACAGAAATCCCTGTAAGGCCAGTCTGATGGAAGCAATTCCTTAATTGAGGTTCTGTAGTCCCTTGTATCCTCCGTTTGTGTCAAGTTGAGGAAAACTAACTAGCACACCATGCAAGTCCTTCCCCCAAAAGGCTTCCCAGATGTTCTCAGTGTGGGGTCATCCCTGGGTGAAAGAGAGGACAAATATTCCAAAGGTCAGTTTCTGTGGTCAAGTAAAGTCAGACACAGGTCCATCCACTTCCTTCTGACCAGGACCGCTCCAAGTGGGCATTAATAAATTTTGGTGTATTAACTAATTATATACTTTGGTACATTAATTAATAAATTTTTGTATATTAGCTTACAAACTTAAGCCAGTCAGCAGTGTGCTAACCAAAGGGAAAAACTTAATTTGGCTTTTGGTACCATTTTATAGATACCCATTAATTGCTAAGTCGTTTGTGAGAATCTCACAAAATGATGCAGATGAATTGGGTTTAAGAGCTGACATTTTTGTCATGTTAATTATCACTGTATGTAGTATGAATCTGAAATTTGATTCTGAACATGCCCACATGGTGGTATTCACTGCTACTTGAACACTAGGAAGTTGAAAACATCCTAGCCTTCCTCCTTTCCCTAAAGCAGAAGCAAGACTCTGTAAGCAATTTCCCTCCAAAGGAGAAACAAAAGTAGGGACTACTTAGAGCAGCAGTTCTTGTCCCAGGTTACCTCTAGAATCAATCCCCTGGGGAGAACAGCTGCTGTGCCTGGCAGGACTGAAATCAAGACCCATTCTCCAGGTAACACCCATTGACTGCTCTCACCTGGGAAGCTAAGGAAAGACAGGTGCCTGACTCTACTATCAGACCAATTAAATCACAGCACCTCAGAGATCAAATGCCAGGCAACAGACACGTTTCATTAATATTTGGTTAGTACAGAAAGAAATGGGTTTTGTTGCTACGTTTTCATTCATATCTTAGGAGTTCTCGGAAGATAGTAACATTGATCCAGAGCTCCAGGCCAGGTTTCTCAGACTTCCGTAAACATGAGTCTTAGAGAAGAGGTTAGTGATACATTACAAACAGGCAAATCTGTAGCGCATTAGCTACTTGGCATGCTGCTTGGCCAAACTCTACAGACAGAGATTTCTACATCATGCAGAATAGGAATTGTCAGGAAAGGGCAGCATGGGAAGACATTACAATCATTTTCTGTGAGAATGCTGATGCCCAAGTGATTTTGTTTGGCAAACCTTAGAGCAGCCATAACCCTTGGGCTTCTGAAACATCTTCCTTTATGAAGATAATTCATGAAATAACAGGTCACCACAGTGTGCCACCCCCTTCTCTGAGCCTGTTTTATCATTGTCTCCACTTTACAGAGGGAGAAAAGAAGAGGAAGGGAAGAGGGAGGAGGGAAATCTACTGACAGGAGAAGGAGGAAGAGGAAGAGAAGGAGGAGGAGAAGGAGGAGGAGGAGAAGGAGGATCTACTGATAAGAGGAGGAGGGGAGTAGGGAGAGGGTGGGGAGGAGAGAGGAGGGAGGGGAGGAGGAAGAGGAGGATCTACTGACAGCCAGAGTTCCCACAGGAAGTCTGATGACCAAGAGCATAAAGTCAGCCAGGCATATACTGCGAGTGCAGGTGGCCCCACCACTCAACTTAAGGGGAGCCTCAGCAGCCTCAGCATGCTTCCCAGGCCATTCCCCATGCAGTGGCTAGAAGAGCTGTCACCATGGTGGTAGCTTTTTGCATTTTTCTACCACTGACTAAGCTAGGACTTCAAACATGCTGGTCAAGTATTCTGCCATGCAACCCCACAAACCCACCAATTGGTAAACGTGTGAAAATGTTGAAAAATGAACTTTGAGAGGTGGTGTCTATTAGTGGGGATACACACTGAAGTTAACCAGAACAAGAAACCTATTCAGCACTTCCAAGCTTCCACAAGTGTTCACAAAAAAAAAAAAAAGGAGGGAGAGGGACTTTCCCCAAGCCACATCATGCGTCTTGCAGTCTTGCATTTTAGAAATGTTAAAAGAGGAGGAAAGGGAGCTGACATTCAATGAATATACTAAACACCCTCCTAAGACTTAGCTGATATTAACACACTTAATCCCTAGAATATACTACAATTATAGCCTGAGAACTTCTTCCATGAAAGTCAGATAGCATTTCAACTTCCAGAGCCAGAGCCATAGCGCCTCTATCCCAACAGCTCAGTTCTGCTGTGTAGTTTAAAGGGAGCCACAGATTCCAAGTGACTAGCTGGACATGAATGTGTGTCATTAAAACAGAAGATTGCCACATTGTTTTCAACCCCTTCTCTGAGCCCGTTTTCTCATTGCCTCCATTTTACAGATGAAACAAAAACAAGAACAAAAGAAACAGAAACACAACAGAAACTACTGACAGTTCAGGGTTCCACAGCAGCAGTCAGTATTAGTAACATTCTTATGCGGCCCAAATCAGAGTTTCCTAATATAAGAAAAGACCCAGAGAGTAAAGACTAACTCAAACTCTCCTTTAATGTTTCCAGTTTTGTTCCAAGCTCTTCTCTCTGCCTTCTTAGAACCCCTATCCTTCCTACCCATATTCTCTGCTCCTCATAATTGATTAAATTTAACCAGTATATCCATTCTTCCAATTCCTTTGGAAGCCAGGATTGCCACCACCACAGGGCTTAGTTGGCTTATGTCCAGTTCCCGTGAACCTGACAATAGAGGGTGTCAGGCTAAGACATGGAGCATGAGCTACTCACCAGTCCTTGGCAGGCACTGAGGGCTGCTGTCCCGATCGTGGTGCCCTCCTGTAGAACTGTGCCCCTGAGATGGCAGGGTGGGCCTGAGGAAGCCAGCATCTTAACATGGGAAAGGTTCCCAAATCTCCTCTCCACAACATAGCCATTGGAAAGAAATTCCTTGTTGACTGTCAGATTAAAATACAGGTCTTTGTCTTCATGTGAAATTCTGTAGTACACCTGGTCCTCAGAGCCACCTGTGGCTCTCTTCCTCCTGCTGCTGGTGACAGCATGATGCAGTCCATACGACAGAAAACGTCCGCTGGCATCTACTTGGACAGGTCCCACCACGTAGTATTCTGGCAAGGTCTTAATAAAATGTTCTATAAGAAAACAGAAGAAAACTCAGAGATCCAAGCTTCGGGTAAGCAAGACAAACTCACTACCATTTGGGACTAAGATTGTAGCTTGCTGATTGCAAAACCACCACTGGCTTACAGCTTAGAGAATGTTTTCCCTACATGAACACTGTCAACATGAAACCCCCTGAGCAACTAGCATGCACACAGCATCTGTCCCCAATGGCACGCAGCAGTCTGAGCTGACCTACAGTAGATCTCTTGGTATCAGCCATTCTATCACAGTCAACTTAAGATGAGAGTTAATCCACGAGGAATAGTGCAAGGGAAGAAGCAGGATCAGTGTACCAAATAGGACAGTGGCAGGCTAGGGTTGGCTGTTGTAAACTGCAGAGCTCCACAGTTTCTGGCATAGTGTTTAAGTCCTCAAGTACTTCCTGCTATGTCTGGTTACAAAAAAATCAAAACACATAGCAAACTCATCACACATGATCCCTGATAAACCTTAACAAACCTCACACCTATGACAGCACCAGAGTGGCCGATGATGTAGCAGGGTACTTAAGTGGACTTGTGGTTTAAAATACACTCAACAAAAATGATGGTGGGACATTCTTGGATCTAAGGCATTGTCGAAATCTATAACCCACTAATTGGATCCATTGTTATTTGAGAACATCAAATTATCAAGATGTACATGGATTCTATATTTTTGGTTGTGAGCCTAGCCTTTAACGGCTGAGCTATCCCTCCAGCCCATACATGGATTCTAATGAGGATAGTTGGCCCTGGAATGCACCAGAATACTCATTTTGACTCACCAAAATTTGATCTTTTGCATAAGAAGGAGGGGAAGAAAAACAGGCAAAGGAAAGGGCAAGGAAATGGGAATCAGGAAATCATGGGAGAAAGAGGGGTAGGGTGGGGTGGGGAGGGGAGGGGAAGGGAAAGAGGGGGGGATTCTACCCACACTTTCCAGCATACACTACATTCCTCACATTATTCTCATGACTATAAGGTCTTTTGCATTCTATCAGAATCCCGTTTGTTATTTAAGATCAAAAGGTGAAAAATCAAAGCACTAGGTATGCTGGCACCACAGAAACTGAAATAGAAGATCAAGAATTTTAGACCAATCTGAGTTACACAGTGAGACCTTCCCTTAAAAGACAAAAGAGAAACAGCAGGGCTCTTCCTTCTCCATTCTTCTAACATCTAAGGACAACTGAAGGTCTAGCTCTTTCCTCTGTACTTCCCAGGATGGCTTTATTTCACACTCCCATTTTTTTTTTACCTATGTTATATATTCCTGATACTTTCAGATCCATAATCTCAGAATCACAGGCTGTGTGTCATCATAGGCTGTATGTCATTATCATAGACTGTATGTCATCACAGGCTGTATGCCATCATAGACTGCATGTCATCATCACAGGCTGTATGTCATCACAGACTGTATGTCATTATCATAGGCTGTATGTCATCATCACAGGCTGTATGTCAACACAGGTTGTATGTCATTGTCATAGGCTGTATGTCATCACTGACTGTATGTCATCATCACAGGCTGTATGTAATCACAAGCTCTATGTCATCATAGACTGTATGTCATTATCATAGGCTGTGTGTCATCACTAACTGTAATGTCATCACAGGCTGTATGTCATCACAGGCTGTATGTAATCACAGGCTGTATGTCATCACAGGCTGTGTGCCATCATCACAGGCTGTATGCCATCACAAGCTGTCTGTCATCACAGGCTGTATGTCATCATCACAGGCTGTATGTCATCATCACAGGCTGTATGTCATCATCACAGGGTGTATGTCATCACAGGCTGTCTGTCATCATAGGCTTTATGTCATCACAGGCTATATGTCATTATCACTGGCTGTATGTCATGTATGTCATAAGTCAGTGAATATGCATACTGATGGTCTTTGAAGGAACTAGATTTGATGGGAGACAAGAAGGAGCTTTTCCTCATAAGCGAGTTCCATCAATACTAATTTTTTGACTCATTCTTCTCAGGCCTCAATGAAACATGGAGCAGAGCACAGAGTGTCCACTTTTGGGAATTAACAATCTTAATTTTTAATTGTAAAATATCCAGACCTATCCTAATTGCAACATTTAGGCACAAACCACATAGGAATAAATGTTTAATAAGAAGAATTTAATAATAAACTAATAAACAATGTTTAATGAAAAATAAGAAGCAAGAAAAATCTACCCAAGGCTACTTGTATTAATGGAAAACACACAAACACACACACACACACACACACACACACACAATTTAGTTTTCCAAAGCACATGCAAACAAAAACCACATATGGAACTCTTTTGAAGGGTTTTCCATGGGAAATGATGACAAAAGAAGCATCAATAACTGGAAAAAAAAGTTGCGAACAAGTTTTTGACAATAGTGTTCTATGAACTGAGTAGTATCACAATTTACACATTTACTTCCCATTCACTCCTCCAGAAATGTCTGGATCAATCCAGGAGGGGCACTTTCCCACCCTTCCCCAGCCAGACCCAAGTTAAGAGCAGAGCAGGCAGGCAGGCAGGATGATGTAGACTTAGTAGCTTCTGCATCACCTCCCTCCCATTGCTCTTAGCTACTGTTATTTCAACAGAGGCTGGAGCATGGAGGAACACCAAAGGACAAAAAACGTCTTTCTCAGCTGGGTGTACCGGTCATCGTGCCCAGATGTGGTTACTAGAAAGACACTGACGACTTTTCTCAAAAGAAAGAAGTTCTCTAGGGTCAGGGCGCTAGGGCCATAGCTCAGTGAGTAAAGTCATGAAGATCCGAGTTCAAACCCAGCATCCATGTAAAACTGCAGCATGGTGGCATCCATGAACAATTCTAACATTGGGGAGGAAGAGACCTGAAGATCCTTGGGGTTCCTTTGGAAACCTTACTTGAGTTCTGGCCCAACCAAAGATGCTACTGTGAGTTAGATAAACTTCTTTTCCGTGTACATCAGCCAGCTCAACCATTTTGTAATAGACACAGAAAATGGACTAATATTTTTCTTGGCTTTTCCTCTCACCTCAGTCAAGAAGAAAGGTTTGAATTGACACCTGTGAAACCTACACATAGTTCACGTCCATCTATGTTCAGTCCTTACCACCTCTGGAAGGTCCACCACAGACAACCAAATATCCGCTTGGTATCATTAAGACTTGGGGAAGGGCAGGGGACTGAGACAGAATATAACTATATCATAGCCTATACAGGCATTTGTGGAAACAAATGATAAGCCTTGATTAAAATCAGATTTGAAAACTTAAGCCGAAAGTTTCAATTACTTGAAACGTATAATAAAGAAACTTAATGAGAAGTTCTAAGAGCAACCAGTGGGCACACAGCATTTTGAAAAAGCAAAACACCAAGCAATCATTTGCCTTCATCTTAGGAAGAAAAGCAGAGTATGAGAGAATACTGGTCTGTTCAGGTTGGAGCTATATATTACAGTTTAGGGACTAGGTACTTAATGAGTACATTGTCCCTGTTCAGGGGCCACGCTCATCTTTTCCTTGTAAGTCCAATTTGTGTGTGAATTCTGATAAAGAGAAAACAACTATACTTATTCTCAACATTTCTATTATTAGGAGTTAAACTTCTTAAACTATTTCTTTAAGAAGCTGTTATAAGTCCTAAAATAGAGGCTTATTTCCATAATTATCTTCCACAGGCTGACCTCACTATACATCTATAGACAACATAGGTGGCTTCTGAACTACGATGGCCTGGTTTTTGGTTTTCTCACTCTATCTTGTTACAAGAGCAACAAATACCTTTGAATTTTGATCTTTTCCTGGGTTAGAGATGCTGGCTGTGCCACTCGTACAATGCTGGGCTACATCGGTGGGATAAGGAGGGCACTCAGCCACATGGTGGCAAGAGTGACCACCCAGGCTACAGAATAGCTCGGCTAATCTGTGGCATGGCAAAAATTGAGTGTGTTAAGGGGCATTTTATACAACAGTATTTGCAACTTCTGATAGGCAAGCAACTGCATCACTTGTCAGGAAGTGTCTGTACAGAGAAAACTAAATCCCAAAGCCATTGTTGGCCACAGAGGAGAGGAAGCACGGTGTAGACAAAGTCGGGTGTCTTACTATTTTGATATTTTGTTGTAAATCAAGAAAGCCTGGAGAGGTGGAACACATCCTTACACCAACTGACTGATGTGGGAAAGGGCTGTGCAGAATCAGCCCAGTCTGTCCTGGAAAGGATTAGATTTGTCACCATACCCTTTCTGGGGACCAAAACTTTCATGTATTTACATCTTTGTGGTGCTATGGGTGGAACCCAGGGCCTTGAACACACTAAGCAAGTGCCATGGGACTGCACTATAGCCCAGCACAGAACTGCCATCATGATTCTGTACAAACCTGAGAACCAAAAAGAATGTGCAGGGTTAACTAGGGTGAGACCCCTTTCCGGCTGCTCCTTGACTCTCTTCAATGCCCCGGCTAAGTAGTATTGGGTAAGTGTTCAATACCTACATGCAAACACGGTCAATTTGTGAGAATAAGGATGGATGAAATGATCTATGAGTTTGCGACCCTTAAAATTTGGAATTTGAGTGCAACTCAAAAATCTTGTCTGAGTAGAAATGGAAGGTCATCTGGGGGTCAAATCCAGGTCTATTGCCAGGAAGCTTTAGAATGCCTGTCATTACTCCTCTATTGCTCTCTTCCACTCCTCTCTCGCCTCTCGCCTCTCTCCTACTCTCCTCTCTCCTACTCTCCTTTCTCTCCTCTCCCATCCTCTCCTCTCTTCGCCTCTCTCCCCTCCTCTATTGCTCTCCTCCTCTCCCTTCCCCTCCCCTTCCATCCCCTCCTTTTTCTCCTCTCCTGTCTTGCTCTCCTCCCTCTTTCCCTTCTAATGGAAACTCACTAAGAAATTTCTCCTTAGCACATAGATTTAATTACTTGTAAATGCATTAATGAAGATTGGTGAAAAGACCGATGCTTTTAAAAATGGAAAGCATTCTTAAATCTAAATATATTTGCATCATTAATACGCATAGTGAGCTTTAGAGCTACTTCTGAATAACAAATATTCTAAGCTTATCCCAAAAGGTCACTAGGAGAAAGAGTCATATCCCACTTTCTGAGGAACAAGACAGGCCCAGCAGTGACTGCTCTACACCAGGATGAATTTTCCCTTACAAACATGCGAAGCAAGCAAAGTTGGAAAACTAGCCCAGGAGAATGTCTTTGAAGGAAATTATCTCCCCATGCCCTGGGAAGTGCTGGCGGGCTTTGTTCGTGCTACCCCAGAACAGGGACCTTTCACAAAGGCACTGCTTTTCAAAGAACAACAAAAGCTGCTATTTTAAACTTGGGCGCTCCAGATTGTATCTGGAACGTTTACACAAGCAAGTGCTGGCTGATTGACATCTAACCCCAGTGTTTGCCCACTCTGGCTTCCAAGTAAAGCAAAGGGAGACAGGGATTTGCATCTGGTGGCTCTCTAAGCCGCCACAGAGGAATTCTCCAGCAACGTTTGACTTTGCAACGTGGGCAGAAAACACTGCCTAGCAATAGCCTAAGCGCGGACAAGTGCCTGCGTGCATGCGTGTGTGTATAATCCCTGCTATTGCTGTCAGCATGGCTGCATGACTTAAAGTCAGGATACCTGGTTCAAAACCGTGTTTCACTGTTATGGAGCTCATAAGATCTCCAAGTTCCAGTTTCCCCATTTGTAAATCAGGCTTGGTAGCCATAGCTCCCGAACTCCAGAAGGGCATTGTCAGTAGTGGGAGGGGCTAACCGGCAACCTCTGTGCTCCGGACTCTGCCCCCACCCTTCCCTGACGCTCCGCGACACCGCAGCAGCTCTCTCTGAATAGGAAACTCTTCTAAGCTCAGTTACAAAACAGAAGCAAGAGTACCACTTTGAACTGTGCATTAGGGTTAAAACAACAACACAACAGTAATAGCAATGATAATATTAATAATAAACAACTGCAAATTATCTTCACAGTCCCTCAGTGCTTTCTCTCAGAACACACGCAGTGGCCACAAAATTTAGAAAAAGTCTGAAAAGCAGGACAGAGAACCGCGAGTGCCCAGGATGTAAGTTTCTCCCCAATAAGGATGTCATTTGAAAAAAACAAAACCCTAAATCTTTCCAGGAAATTCAAACTCAGCCAAGTTGCTCAGCAGGGGGCCGGAATAAAATTTCTACCTTCCAGATCCGGAGTTTAAAATTGAGGAAACATTGCATGACTGCCAGTGGCCAGCTGTGTCTCTTTAATAAAATAAATTTCCATGTTAGAATCTGCAAGGGGGGGAGCTGAAGCAGGGAGGGGGTGCTGGTCCGCTGGTCCGGGGCGCTTGCTCTTGGGTCTTTCGAAGCAAGGGTGTTTGTCCGTCACCCCTCAGTGGGCAGGCAAATATTCGTAAGCCCTAGGCCAGAAGAAATTCGGAGACTGAGCCCACAGCCCAGTTTTTCTTAGACGGGACAGAAGGCAGAGTTCAGCCCTGTCTGGTGGGGGAAGGGGTAGGGGACAGACCGAGTTCCACTGTCCTACCACCACTGCTTGAAAAACAGATAAAGAAAAGCCACTAACCTTGCCTCGGGTCTGGAAAGCGAACCGGGCCGGGCTGAGCTTGTCTCCCCAGGCAAAAAGCCCCAAAGTTAAGAAGCTGAGCCAACATCGAGAGCTTTGCCAGCCAGCTTGTCTGAGCACATGGCATGGTTCAGTTGTTGGGGAGAAGAAAAGTCAAAAAAGTTTCAGCTCTCAGCTGCAGATACGGAGTCCTCGCCTGTGGCCGCGCAGGAAGACGCAGCGTGGCATGGTCCAGGCGTGGGAAGGGAGCGGCCAGCAAGCTGCCCGCGAGCTCTAGTGGCTTTTTGAAGCAGAAGGGGCCAGAGAGCTTTTATTCTCTCCTGTTCCCGAAGGGTAGTGAATGAGTTGAGAACTTCTGCTTTCTGCAGGCCAGAGCGTGGACTGGGTCAGAGCCAAGGGATGCAGCCCACCCCACATCCCCACCCCCGGCTTTCCCCACCCGCCCGGCCTCCAGCCAGCTAGCACATCTTCCTTAGGGACTCCTCCTCCTCCTCCCTCAGGCTCCTCCCTCCAGGCTCAGAGCCTCGGCCCGCGGGCCAAATAGGGGAGACCCCAGAGAGCTGGCCAGGAAGGCACTAGAGTAAGAGCCATTCAGAGGCTCCAAGGATCTCTCTCTCTCTCTCTCTCTCTCTCTCTCTCTCTCTCTCTCACACACACACACACACACAAACACACACACACACACGAGAGAGAGAGAGAGAGAGAGAGAGAGAGAGAGAGAGAGAGAGAGAGAGAGAGAAATAAAGTGCACACTTCAATAGTGAGTTATGGGCCAGAGGGGGCCCCATTTCCCAAGTCCTCAGCTACTCCCAGGTCCTGAACTTACCCTATTCTGTCAAGACTCCCACCCATCAGCAACCCGCTGGGACTTTTCTTCCAGTGTAGGCTAAGATTTCCACTTAACAATTAATAGGCAAATTTCCTCTTTGCCAAGTCTCACAGGAAATAATCCAAGCTAATCTGCTACCTTGACCCTGGACAAGTCTCTTCAGCTGCAGGTTGCGGTGACTGGAGCAAATGCCCTGGAGGCCTTCAGAAGCTGCAGGTCAATGCCTGCTTTCCTGTTTCCAAAACGCATCTCTCTTAGTTCACCTCTGCGGAGATGACTGGCATTGCAGAGAAAGGAGTCAGCCTAAGCAGGCCTTCAACATTCATGCAGTTTACCAACGAAGGCTGCCCCAGTGTGTATGCGTGTGTGTGTGTGTGTGTGTGTGTGTGTGTGTGTGTGTGTGTGGTGTGTGGTATGCATGTGGTATGTGTGTACTGTGGGTGCTGTTTTGGTGTAGGTGCGGAGTGTGGTATGTATGTGGTATGTTTGTGGTATGTGGTGTATGTGGTGCATGTGGTGAGTATGTGTGATGTATGTGGTGTGGGGGGAAAGGGGTGGGGCAGTTTATGGTATGTGCGGTGTGTGTGGTGTATTTGTAGCGTGTGTGTGTGTGTGTGTGTATGTGTGTGTGTGGTATGTGGTGTGTGTGTGTGTGTGTGTGTGTGGTATGTGTGGTATGGGTGGTGTATTTGTAGCGTGTGTGTGTGTGTGTGTGTGTGTGTGTGTGTGTGTGTAGTATGTGTGGTGTGTGTGTATGTGTGTGGTATGTGTCATGTGTGTGGTGTATTTGTAGCGTGTGTGTGTGTGTGTGTGTGTGTGTGTGTGTGTGTGTGTGTGTGTGTGTAGGGGGAGTATCCATTCAGATACTCAGACTTTCTCATCAGTGAGAAAATGCCACAAAGCAGGAGTTGTCAGGCATCTTGAGAATTTACCAGGATAATCCAGCCAAAATTCTTTACCTCTGGGTTGAAACAGACCTCCTTACTCCATTCAGAAGGAATTTGGCCTCCTATGTGGAGGCCTCTTTGGCTGACAGCCAACCATATGCCTTCAAGAAGATGTCTTGGACGTCAGTTCACTCCAGGCCTTGCACTGGGATAGGACAGCCACGTTACCCCCAGGGACCCAAAATGCAAGGCCTGAGATGGGAGGTCGGAAGGACTTCATACTGGGAAACAGAGTTAACAGGACTTCCTAAGGGATGTTAGTTTCTCCTTTTCACCATTGCAAACTTACAAATGCATTGTCTTAAAAGAACACAGATTTATTATCTTCAGTTCTGGAGATCTGAAGCAGAATTCACTGAACTAAAATCAAGGAACTGAACTCCTGTCTGGACATCTTAGGGAGAATCTATTTTCTGGCCTCTCAGCTTCTAGCTCCTGGAGTTCTCTAGCACCTAGATCTCCTGCCCCATTTTCAAAGTCAGCCATGTGTAATGTTTCTTGGACTCTCTTCTATCTTTCCACTCATCACCCTTTCTGAGTACATTTGAGGGTGACCCTCCTCATCTGGGTTATCTCCTTGAACTGACTAGCATGCTGATTCTGCCTGCACCCTCAAGTTCCCCTTGCCATGTAGTATATAGCATGCTATGTCATGATAAGGAAGCTGGGGAACTGTATGGCTGAGCCTGTTCCCATCATGTAAGAAGGAGGTAACAGGTTCACATCCTGAGCCAAAATACATGAAATCGAGTAGATATCATGGCCTGCCAGATATCCATCTACAAGGTCATAAAAACACTTGGAGCTGAACTCTTATGCACATTCTTTTAATTCTCTACTCTCCGCCCCCAGGCTTCTACTCTTCCTTCTCTTCTTCCTCCCTTCTCTTTTAAGAGCAACCAGATGTTTCCTGGAGACCCAGATCTCCTCTGGCTTCCATGCCCTGGAAGGAGATCTGTTCCTTAAACAGGAAGCCAAAGAACTCTGTGGTACTATGTCAAGGATGAGTCATGGAACTCTGGCTTTGCAGATCAATGTCTTCAACTCTGATGCTATCCTCCTGATTCTCTTCCCCACCTATTTTCAAGACCATGTTAAGTTTGAATGTGGATAGTGTCCCCCAAAGGCCCATGGGTTAAAATAAAACCCTCTCTCCCACTTCTAGGGTAGTGGTATTGGAAGGTACTGTGAACATTCATAAGATGGGGCCTGTGTAAAACCTTTAGTCACTGGGGGTATGGCATCAAAGAAAATTATACAATAGTCCTAGTCTCTCAGTGTCTCTGTTTCTTGGCTTCTAACATGATGCATTTGCTCAGACACATGCCTTTTACTCTGCCACCTGATGACCTCACCACAGGTCTAAAGCCATGGACTGTGGTCCATAGCATGAAATCTTGGACAGCAGTAAGACAATGAATACAGACCCTAACTAGGAACATCATTCATTTAGAAGTCATCCAAGGCTAAACACTTCAAAGACAAAAGCCTTTTATTCTGGCAGCCCATTCAACACTTTGTAGGCAGTGCACTGGTCTCATCCTGGTCTCTCCATCCTGGGTTTCAAACACCCATAAGCTCTGTCTGGCTCATTTTCTTTTTGCCCAGTGATGACTCTATGACCTACTTCTTTAAACAAGTACCTTTAAGAGTGCACATTTTCCTCACCAAAACATATCTTTGTTCCACCAATTGCTGACTTTTCTCTGCTCTTTGTTGAAAAAAAAGCTCATCTTTGCCCCCAATGGTGCAATCAGCAATTCGTTTCTCCAGCCCTCACAACGGGGCTCAGAACAAGCATGTAATCTGTTACTATTCTACCAGCAAGTTCCTCCCACTCTTTCCAGAATTTATAAAATTCCTCTGAAGTTGGAAGCTTTCTCAGAGAAAGCCTAATCCTCCTCAACTTCTCCTCTGCTGAATGGTGACTTGTATTCAACCTTATTTGATTGTTTTTGTTTTTCCAGAAAGGGTTTCTGTATAATGCCAGCTGTCCTAAAATTCACTCTGTAGACCAGATTGGCCTCAAACTCAGAGATCCACCTGCCTCTGCCTCTGAGTGCTGGAATCAAAGGTGTGAACCACCACTGCCTGGTGTATTCAAGTTTTTAATTGCCATACACCACTTTAAAAAGCCAACTCTTTCACTCTAGAGACAGAACTGTGAATCACTGCATAGTCTCTAAACCATCCTTGGCATGATGGTAATATGCTTCCTTTTGAGAGGAAACTACACAGACATCCATGGTCCCAGAGTAGAGCAACAGCTAAGAGTAGAGAGCACCCATTGATGCTGACCATACCTGGTGTTGTGCTAACAACTCTATACACATCACTCCCCTTAATCACTCCAAAAAGCCCTAGTAGGTGGGTACTACTAGTATCCTTATGCTGCAGGGAAAGAGACGCTGAAATGTTCAGCAACCTGCAGGGTGAAACAATGCATTCAAGGCATTTAGAGACTTAGGTCGCAACACAGATGCAAAGACAGCTCCACTTCTACTAAGGGAAATGACCTCTTAGAATGCCCTCACTCCAAAGACAGAGAGGCTAAGACTAGTAAGACACACTTCAACATCCTCAGTGCTTTGGTTAGTGTCTTAGCTTGTTTTCTGTTAACATGATAGAGACCATTATCAAAAACAAGTTGGAGGAAGAATGAGCCTTTCCTTTTCTTACACTTCCTGACCAAAGTCCGTTAGTGAGAGAGGCCACGAGAAACATAAAGATGTCAGGAACCTGGAAGCAAGAACTCAAGCAGAACCCGTGAAAGAGAGCTGTTTGCTAGCTTTATCCCCTGACTCACCAGGCTTGCTTTTTTATATACCCTAGACTATCTCCTAAATCGTAGCACCACCCACAGTGAGCTGGGCCCTCTCACACACAATATTAATCAAGAAAATGCCCATATACTTGTCAACAGGCCATCTGATGGAGGCGCCCTCTCCACTGAGGTTCACTCTTCCAAGAAGACTCCAGCCATGTTAAGTTGACAAATGCTAACCACCACAGGTAGTAGTTTATTTAATTCATTACGTTAAAGGATTTTCCATATAAACATATAAATCATGACCAAAGATTCAGGAAACCTTTCAAAAAGCTTCCTCTGTTCACTATTTTTTGGTTGTGAGTCTAGCCTTTAATGGCTGAGCCATCTCTCCAACCCTGTTCACAATTTTTTAATAGTGCAACATATGGCTGAAGGACAAGAAAAATTAGCTCACTGTGTTTTTCCTATTAGTCATTGTTCTTAATGTTAGAAAGACAATGGAAACTGATACATGCAGGCGCAGGTGTCAACTCACTTTTATTCTTCAAACCAATTATATTAAATGGGCAAGTGTGCCAATATGCCATTGTTATGGGCTACTTAAAGCTTCCTAACTTTTTGTTTAAGTGGTGCCATGCTGGCTGGATCATTCTTCTGATACCATAATTAATCAGCTTAATTAATGAAGCACTATCATAACAACACCCCTTTGAAATCTGTGACTAAAAAGGCTATGGAACATTGATTAATGAAACATACTATTGGTTTCACGAAACAGCACACCTCAAACAGAATGTGTAGTGTTAGGTAACAATGATGCAG